AAAAATGGTTACAAAAAAGTGTAAATAAAAATCAAATTAATAAATAAAATTTGTTTTTGAATGGATACAAATAATTGTATGTAGAACATAAAAAAACTATGTTAAAATAAAAAAAAATTTTTTTTTGCCTAAAAAATTTAAAATTTAAAAAAAATTTTAATTCTTATTTTAAATTGATTAAAAAAGTCACTTTGGGCCCATATTTTTTGTGTTTCAAGAACCTAACAATCAATAGCAAAATTTTTTCTCTACAAATTTTGAAATAAATCACATTATTAATTATTATTTTATAGTTTTTTTTTGCCGTCATGTTCCGTCACATAAAATTGAAATATTGTCAATTTATTTCCAAACCAGTTAAATAGCTCGAATCGTTAGTCTTAAAATTTGCATAATATATGACCAAAAATTGTATAGAGCCATAACAACAGAACATAAAATTCTATACCAAAAAAAGTTGTGACACATAATCCAACAAATCTTGTTAATAAATATATAAATGGGTCATAAATTGCAATTATGTGTTTCAAAAAAAAAAAAAAAAAAAAAAAAATACAACAACAATACATAACATATTTCATTTAACTATAAACTAGATTTTAAAGTTTCAAATTTCAAACTGCACAAAATGACAAGTCTATGAACTAACAATTAAAAAAAATCATTTCTAATTTTTGCTTAAAAAAACTTTTAATTAAAATCACTTGAAAAAAAATAAATTCTCAGGCATTTTATTTTATTTAAAAAATAATTAAATCCAAAATCACTTGAAAATAGTAAATTCCCAGGCATTTTATTTCACTTTCGAGTTCGTGTCTTAAGTCTTTTCATTAAGATCATTATCAATTGGCTTAAAAGAATCTTATTCGATTATCATTCTCTCAGACTCACGGGAAATTTATTGAGAAATAGTGTTAGGAAAACTTATTTCACGTTTGTGTCTTAAGTCATTTGTTTACATTGCCATCAATCTCATTAAAAATAAAATTCTCAGCATCATCCCTCACGAAAAAATCAAATTAGAAATGAATAGAGAGCAAGGCCACAGAAGACAAATATTTATTTTACATGTTCGTGTCTTAAGTCTTTTGATGACATTTATTCCCCAGGTATCACATACACATAAATATATCACATCATCAGGCTCTATGGCACTTTAAGAGTATTTACTCTCATTTCATGTTCGTGTCTTAAGTCTTTTGTTATGACTAAAGCAGAGATACGCGCATTGAGCGAGCATCTCTGCTTAAGACCCAATTGGAATGATATACTCTCTCTCTCATTCATTTCCTCACTGAATTCACTGGAATTGCAGTGAAGACAAACAAAAGACTTAAGACACAAACGTTGTTATTTTTGTTATTCTAATAATAAATGGATACTCTCGGCTATTATAAACTCATTCTCTTCAGCTTTTAATGATTGGAAATTATAGATGGTGAATACTAAAGACTTAAGACACGAACATTGGAATTTTGCAAATGACATTTTTCTTCTCTCTCACGCTGAGTTGTGAATGGTAAAAACGACTTAAGACACAAACTTTGTTATTTTTGTTATTCAAATAAGAATTTGATACTCTCAGCATTTTAAAACACATTCCCTTTAGTTTTTAATGGTGGAAATGATAGGGGGAGAAAGCAAAAGACTTAAGACACGAACTTTGGAATTTTGCAAATGACATTTTTCTTCTCTCTCACACTGAGTTGTGAATGGTAAAAAAGACTTAAGGCACAAACTTTAAATTAAATTAAAGTTTGCATCTTTAAGTGATTTATATATTTTTAAATTGTTGTAAATATTTTTTTAATAATTTTCAAAAAAAAAACAATAAATAAATAAATAAACATTTTATAACTAACAAATTAATAAAAAATAGATGCACCTGTGTATTTTGTATTGCCTATGGCTTGAGTAGAAAAAATATAATTAATTTCCCATTAAAAATAAATAAATAAAATATGCGTGTGTGCCAAAATAAATATAAATATTCATTCATGAACTTGAACTTTTCTTCTTCGCCTCTTCCTCTCCTACATCTTTTTCACTCTTTCCTCAAATATTTTCTGTAAAACATAAATCTTGTTTCTTTTTTAATATGCGTGCCTTAATGATTGTTAATTTGATGCTGTTTATTTTAAATACGATTATATATATTTATAAAAGATTTTAATGGATGCTGCTGGAGGTTTTGTAATATATTTATTTTGTTTGTTGATGGTGATAGAGGGCGGCCTCTTTTTTGTGAATCTTCAAGAAATTTATCAAATAGCTATTATGTTGTATACGGAAACTGGTTACATGCGATATTGATACGATTAATTAGTATGTATTCGATTTGTTATAAGGTCATTTGATATACTGAAACAATAGATTTCTTTTTGAATGTGGAAGGGAGAATATTTTATTAAAATATTATTTTGGAATATTGCAAACTGTGTTAAGGTCAAATCAAGAGATTTTAGACAAAAAAACAGAAAATTTATAAAAAATTAAATATTAATTAATTCAGAGAATATTTTAAAATATTTTTATTATTTTTTAGAAAATAAAAAAAATGTTATTTTAGAAAAATTTAAATATTTTTTTTTTTATTTTTTAGAAAATGGATCTAAATGATCTTTTTTTTTTTTTGCTTCAATTGCCCCACATTTAAATGTGTTTGCTTAGATTTCCTTGAGTAATTCAAATTAATAGCTTCAAAAACCCAGAGACTTGTTACTCTAAGTTAAACAAACAAAAAAATCATAAAACTGAACTACTTAAATTACGCCCAATTTTTGAATTGCACACAACACAAGTTATCTTTTTTCTGTTTTGTTTTTGCTCAAGTCACGATTATCTTATTTGCCACAATTTGCTTTTAAAACAAATTCAAATTGAAATGAAATGGTTGCCCGCACACAGATAACAATAGGCAACCTTAGACGACGGCATCATCATCATAATTTATAATGGGGGCTGTTTGATTATTACAGATCTTGGAAAAAAAAAACGATGATAATAAAGTGAACAAATAATGGAAAGAAAATGGGAATGACTTCATAAGGAAGAAATGGATTAGAAAGGCAATAGAAGGTTGATTTTGGTTGATATTTATGGAAGTTGAGACCTACATTTGATTTATAAGTGACACATTTAGCCATAATTTAACGAGTGTGGAGGAGAGTGATTTATTTTTCGAACGTTTTGGCAAAGTGCCAAAAAATTAGGGAAGTGGTAATAAATATTGGAAATGGCTTTTAGGGTGTTAGAGAAAATAAATTATTTTTTTGGTGTCATATTGTGAGACGTCAACAATTTTAACTAATGAAAAATTTTTTAAAAAATATTTTTAAGGTCCACCACAAGTCGGGGATATTTCAAAAAAATTATTTTCCAATATTCTACATTTTTTAAATAAGGCAGAGATTTTTTAAAGGTATTGGATTTTTAATAAAATTTTTTTCTAAGGTGGAATATAAATTATAATTTTTTGGGTGACATATTATGAGACGTCAATAATTTTAGCTAATGGAAATTTAAAAAAAAAATATATTTTTAAGGTCCACCACAAGTCGGGGATATTTAATTTTTTTTTCCAATATTCTACATTTTTAAATAAGGCATAGATTTTTTAAAGATAAGGTATTGGGTTTTTAATAGCATATTTCTAAGATATATTTTTTTATTTTTTTTAATTTTTTTTAATTGTAATTAAATATTTTTTCCATAAAAACCAGTTAAATTATTATTAATTTTCTTAAATTTCCTATTCTGGTTTTTAATCATTTTCCATTTCCAAATAAATATTATTTTCATTAATTATTTCTACATTTTCCCCGTATATTTCTAAAATGTATTATTTTTCCTTATTTTTTCTACTAATGTTTTTAATTTCTTTTTTATTTTCTTTTTTCCTAATATTTTTATTTATATTTAATTTTTTTCTAAATCATCATTCCTCATAATTTTCTAATATTTTTAGAATTTTTATTTTTCTACTAATTTTTTAATTTATTTTTTATTTTTATTTTTCCCAATATTTTTATTTATATTTAATTTTTTTCTAAATCCCTAAACTTTTTCCAATATTTGACAATTTCTATTTTTTCCTCCTAATTTTCTAATATTTTTAGAATTTTTTCTATAATTGTTTGCATTTATTTTGAATTTTTAACAAAATAAACTCTTTTCTAGGGTAATTTGAATAAATTTGCCAAAAGACTTAAGACACAAGCGTTATAAATTCATGAGTTTGCAGTTACTTTCACTCTTACGGTTATTACTCTTGCTCTCACTCCCATGCTCTTTGAATTGGATAACATTACTAATCATTGAAGGGAATCTAATAAGAAATGCTCAAAAGACTTAAGACACAAGCATCAACATTACAACATAACTCCGTTACTTTCACTCTCTTGACTATTACTCTTTCCCTTACTCTTTCTCTCTCTCTCTTGAATATAACAGTAGATGAACTAACAGAGATGGGCATAAAAGACTTAAGACACAAGCGCCATAATTACAAGGTAAGCCATTTACTTTCACACTCTCTCATGAATGTTACTCTTTCTCTCTTCCTTTAGAACACTAAGGAAACAAACAGAACTCAGCAAAAAAAGACTTAAGACACAAACACTTGAAATGCTTGATATCTCAGTTACTTTCACTCTCTTTGTTGTTACTCTATCTCTTACACTTTCTCTCTCTTTGAAATGAAATAACGTAACAAAAAATCATGATTGGAAAGACTTAAGACACAAACTTGGCAGGAAATAAAAATCACACCATTAGAGTTCTATATCACACTTTTTGTGTATTACACCAAACAAAAGACTTAAGACACAAACTTGGCAGGAGATAATATTGCACACATTTTCAAGTCTTTTAAAAAAAAATATTCCTTTTAATTTTTTTTCTCGTTATTTTTTGCACTATTATTTTCATGTCCTTTTTAAAATAGTTCTTATTTTTTCTTATATTTCTTTTTTTTAAATAAATTTAATTTTTTTATATACCTTCATTGTTGTATATTCAAAGCTTAGGTTTTGGGATCACACACAAAAAAGGAGTTTAAAGTGTTTTAGTTTTGTGTTTTTTTTTTGGTTTCTTGTACTTCTTGTGAAGAAGGTTGAATGGGATTTGATACTGTAACAATTTTGTAGGCTGCTATTTATATTTGCTATTGGAGTAAAGTGATGTTCGACCAAAAAGCAGAAACATTTGCACAAAACAACATTATCGTCGTCAACGTATACACTTATGGATGGATGAATACATAGACACACATACATACACTTAACATAGCATAGCTTCAGCAGCATAATAGACGAAAAGAAGAAGAAGCAAAAAAAAAAGAAACATCACAGTTTCTAAGTAGTTGTTTTTGTTAGTTTTTTGAAACATCAACAACAACCAAGAAAAAATAGTAACAAAAATCTTAATGAACAAAAATTCGCGCCAAATTTGTATGGTATTTGTTGTTGTTGTTATTATTGGTGGATGATGGTACACTTGCACGAAGAGAATGACTTCAAAACTCTCAAATGAAAAAAAAACACCAATAGCAACAACAACATAGAAAACTAAGTCATTACTCTTGTTGCATTCGACTCAACATAATGTTGATGCCTTGCAGCAATTTGAGAATCATTCGTTGGGGTCTTCAATGGGGAAATGGTTTTTAGTTGTATTTGAGACTTTAGCAAAGATAGGTTGAAACAAGGGAGCCCTTAGTGGTGTGAAGCACTTAAACAATATAAGTTTTAATTAAAGGGAATTTTAAGGATAATAAGGATAAATATTTTCTCATGTTTTTCTTTTTTAATTTTTTGAAGACCCATACAAGCCTTGGTATTTTACAAAATTATTTAAAGACCTACATAAGAAGTGGATTTTAAAAAAAATGGCTTGATTTTTTTATTTATTTTTTTTTTATTTTGAGAACTCATACAATGCGTGAATTTTTTTAAAACATTTTTGGATTTTCTACAAATATTATTTGATTTTTTACAAATATTTTTTTTTTTTGAGATAAAAAAACCGCTTGCCTTTTTAAAAATATTTTTTTGAGTTCTCAACCAGAAGTGGATTAAAAAAAATTAAAAATATTTTTTTTGTTCTCTACCAGGATTTTGAAAAATCTAAATCTGAATCGATTTCAACAAAATTATATGTCAATCGTACAAACTTTGGGTCTTTAGTGCACCATTTACATAAAATCGAAGGAAAATATATATGGGAGCTATATCTAAATCTGAACCGATTTTCACGAAACTTAGCACACATCATTCTAGACCTAATTCAGTACGCTGTGCCGAGTTTCGTGCAAATCGAAGTATGTATAGGGACTTTGGTACACCATTTACATTAAATCGGACGAAAATATATATGGGAGCTATATCTAAATCTGAACCGATTTTTCCCAAATTCAATAGGGTTTATCCATGGGCAAAATAAATGATCTGTGTCAATTTTTATCCAATTCGAATCATAAATGCGCTCTGTACTTTGTTTACAATTTAAGATGGACAGACAGACGGACGCATGGACATGCATAAATCGGCCTAGAAAGTGATTCTATGAATATTCTCAAAAGGAACCGTGCCTGTTACAAACATATACACAAAGACATAATACCCTGTACCACAGTGTGGTGAAGGGTACAAAAATCCACGCCTTGAAAAAGTATTTTTTTAAATCCACGCCTTGAAAAAGTATTTTTAAAAAATCCACGCCTTGAATATTCCTCCATGCCTTGGATAGCACTTAAAAAATATTTTTAAAAAATCCACGCCTTGAAAAAATATTTTTAGAAAATCCACGCCTTGAAAAAATAATTTTAGAAAAGCCACGCCTTAAAAAATATTTTTTTAGAAAATCCACGCCTTGAAAAAATATTTTTAGAAAATCCACGCCTTGAAAAAATATTTGTAGAAAATCCACGCCTCCAAAAAATATTTTTAGAAAATCCACGCCTTGAAAAAATATTTTTAGAAAATCCACACCTTAAAAAAATATTTCTAGAAAATCCTTGAAAAAATATTTTTAAAGAATCCACGACTAAGGATATACTTTGAAAAAAATATATATTTTTTTAATCCACGACTTACTCTAGACGTTGAAAAAATAGTTTTAAAAATCCATACTTTATTTTGAACTCAAAAAATATTTTTTTTAAAATCCTGTGATAAAAAAATGTTTTAAAAAAATCCTAGGCCTCCTTGAAAAAAAAAATATATATATATATCTTCCATCAATAAATCCTAGTATATTTCCCTATTTCCCAATTGAACCTCGTTTCTAATTCTCCCTGAATGAAACACACACGCACACTCTCTCACATACCCTGCCATCCCATTAGACCAAAAACAAAAACCTTAAGCCTCGACTTAATAAAACAAATGAGCAATGCGGGAGTAATTTAAACATCACTATAACATAAAACATGTGTACCAACATTATTGTTGTTGACTACAGTTGTTTTTGTTGCTGTTTATTTATACAACAACAATGGCAATAACAACATCATAGCATGCTGAGATTTTTGTTGTTGCTGCCATTGGCTATTGATGATGTTGGTCGGTTGATCGTCGTTGCTTCGTTCATTGCTGGTGGCTCGTCGTTGATGATGACGATGGAGACGACGATGATGATGGCTGCTCTCATTACTTTTGTTTGTTTGCTGTGTGTATTTGTATGTGAGTGTGTGTGCCTGCAAATAACTGTTGTGGCATTGTCTCCATGAAGAAGAAGAAGAAGTAACTCTTTGATGCCTTTCAAAAAAAAAAAAATAAATGTTTGCCAACAATAATAAAAACAACAACAATTGCCAACTAAGGCAATTGTTCTTACAGCCACTTCTCTCCCTCACTCCCTCCCTCCTCTCTCCCTCACTCCTCTCATTGGGATTGTTGTTTCGTTTCCCTTTCTTTTTGTAATCATATTAAAAACAATTCTCACCTTAACAGTCTAATGAGGTGTGGGAGTTAAACTGAGAGCAAGAGTACATGTGAGAGGAATTAGTTCACTCAACAACGATGGTTAATTGTTAATTTGTGTTGTTGTTGTTGTTAGTTGGCGTTGGTGGAGCAGCAACACTTTTGCTTTCTTGTTTGTTAGTTATGTTAACTATGTGTGTGTATGGTTGTGCGTGCTTGTTGTGTTGTGCTACCTTTAGCTCTGAGATTTGTTTTCCAACGTGATGCAAACAAACCGAAACATGATTTTTTCTTATTTCAAGAGCACATTTGCTGTTATTGTTGCTGCTACTTTGATTTTGTATTGTATTGAAAATGAAAGGAGAGGTGAATTTACTCTCCGTTAAGATGTTATTTAGTAGCAAATGTTTTGATGGTGTTGTTGTTGTTATTGCTGTTGAGAATGCTGTGCGAGTGTGTTTTTGGTTTTGTTGGGAATACCATAGCTTCGCATAGCATCGTTCGTGTTACGCATCTTCATTCATTGGCCGTACATTAAACGAAATGGAATCGTAACGGATCGTATGGTGTGTGTGCGATTTGTTATTGAAGTGTTTGTAGGGAATTTCGACGTGTTGTTTATGGAATGCGTGTTTGTGTCTTAAGTCTTTGGTTTTATTTTTGATGTAAAGGAAGTTTGAAGGAAATAAAGGGATTTTAATGTGATTTTTAAGGAGAATTGATAAGAAAAAATTTACTGTATTTGTAACGTGATTTTTTTTAATTCTTTAAGAACAATTATAGCCGTTTATTTTTGAAAAAAATGCAAATAAAAAAATTAAATTCCAAAAACAAAGAAATTATTAAAAAAAATTAAATTTTTTCTCAATATTGGTTTTTAATTTATAAAAAATAATATTTTAATTTGGTAATAAAAAAATTAAATTCTGTTAGACCCGGAAAATAGTTGTATAAAATGCACACATTCTGTTAGACCCTGAAAAAATATTTTTTAAATAATCCAATCCTACGGATGGTCCCAAAAAACATATTTGTATTTAACTAGAACATTTATACGGAAAAATCGCCCCTTTGGCGCTGAAATATATTTTCTTAATTACTCAATTAATAGCGCAAACATTTGTTGGGTTTGATCTAGTGTGAAGATGAAATAACATAAAGAATATTAATCGATTCTTAAATTAGTTTGTTATATGAGAGATCATAATAATAAAAGTCATTTAAAAATAATTAAGAACTTAATTTAAATGTTCTTGTAGAGACATATATAATTAAAAAATAAAAGAATAAAAAATAAATAAATGAAATAAATGTTGAAAATAATATAGAAATTCCATTTTTCATTATCATTGAAGAAAAAATAATAATAATAATGAATTTGCTTATAGAAGCATGTACTTTTAATTATTTTTTTTTTTAATATTTATCTAATTTTTGGTCCTCTTCTTTTTTCTTTCTCTTATCAATTTATGATTAATGTTAAAATTTTTTTAATTATTATAATTGGCGTGTAAACACCTGACACGGTTTTACAAGCCAATAATGTATTAAAATATTAAATAATGAAATATTTAATGGTTGAAAGGAAATATTTATGTTAAGGTGAAATTTTGTGGGAGTCGTTCCGATTCGATGTTATTAGCAACCTGTTTAAAACACCGCAACTATAAAAATACCACGTCTTGTTGGGACTTCAAAAAATTATTAAAAAAAAAACATTTTTAAAAAATCCTCGCTTTGTGTATTTAAAAACAAGTAAGGAAATTAGTAAAGTCGGACTGGGCCGACTAAAAAAAACAGATCTCACCTCTTCGAAGGAACATTGACGTGAAATTTAACGAATTTAAATATGTGATATTTATGGAAGCTATGCTATATCAAAATCAGAACCGAGTGAAGGGAAACTTGCAGAGATTAATTTCAGTACGTTTTGTCAATCGGCCTTCTGCTCCATTTATTTAAAATTGGTCGAAAGTTAGGGCACAATTTACTTTAAATCGGACGAAAATCTATATGTTATCTATAGCTAAATCTGAACCAATTTCCACGAAACTTAGCACACATCATTTCGGACCTAATTCAGTGCTCTATGCCAAATTTCGTGCAAATCGATAGACATATGGGGACTTTGGTGCCCCATTTACCTTAAATCGGACGAAACTATATATGGGGGCTATATCTAAATCTGAACCG